TTTGATTGTTCACATTCGTCAACTCAAATTAGCAAACGCAGGTTTGAAGGAGCCTTGTTAAACCAGGCCTTTAACAAGGGTGAGAAACTCAGCTTCAACTCCGCAAGGGTTTCAACTTCAGCTCTTTGAGCCCCGCTAATCCGAAATTCCACTCGCTGTTTGCTCACAGACAAGCAATTTGGTACAAGCTAATGAAATAACCCATTTTTTTTTTTTGCAGACTTTTTGTGGGAAAATGAAATTGGAGCCCGAATGGAAATAATCAACACCATATAGGAAAAGCCAGCCCAGCTCAGAGTGTATCGCTCCAGGCTGCGGGACACCAGTTGGGCAGCTCTAGCAGCACAGCAGACCACAGGTTCCTGAGCTTTCTTCTTCCCCTGTGTTCTTCACCCCCAGGTGATTTCCATGCCCAAATGATACCTGGGGACAGGGCAACACGACTGGGCTCAAGACGCAAAAGATAGCATGGCCAACCATGACTTTCCCACAGCTTTGCTGCGTAACACAACACTGGGAGAGGGGAAATCATGGATAGGCTAGGATAAATTCATTGATGCCTTGGAGGTTGAGAAACTTCAACCTGTGACAAAAAAAATTTGTCACTCTCAGTGTATTTCAGGCTGGTGATGGGGACTGTGGGGATACCCACCCTACCCTAGCCACCACCCCACCATGAAAGAAGGCTGAAAACCAGACAGTGCAGAGAGGCATCTGCACCATCTCCATTAGGTATGGGTCTTAACTGAGAGCCCAATCTGCACAGCACCTACTTTGGGTTCCTACTCAGGGAAGCAATCTTCTTCCACAAGCAGCAGAGAGGACCCCAGGCTCCTAGAGGGCTGTGTGAGCAGGTGGTGTGAATACCCCTCCAGAGCCTGTATTTGGGGAGTAGGGTCTTCATAACCCACAGAGTCCTCACCCGTGGTCTACCGTGTCATTATTTACCACAGTAGTGGAAGACAAGTGAGGTTAACTCTTCACCGGGTACCAGTATTTAAGGGGTGGCCACAGAGAAGATGGAGACTCTCTCTTCACAAGGAGACACATGGAAAAGATGAGGGGTAATGGGTACAAGATAATCCTGAGAAGATTCTGATTGGACATGAGAGGGAAATTTTTCACAACGAGAACAGTCAACCATTGGAATAATCTCCCCAGCGGAAGGGTTAGCTCCACCACACTGGGCACTTTCAAGACGCAGCTGGACAGGGTGCTGGGCCATCTTGTTTAGACTGTGCTCTTACCTAGAAAGGTTGGACCAGATGATCCTTGAGGTCCCTTCCAACCTGGTATTCTAGGATTCTATGAAATCAAACATCTTTACCAATCCACTTCACAGGAGACAGTTTGACTGAATACCAAAAGCCAAGGCCAAGTCACAAAAGTGGTTGAACAGGAGCTTGGCAACTTTGGGTGGATGAGGCATTTTAGAAATTTTTTTTTTTTTAAAGCAAAATTTGAAAATAATGTTTGGCACTTCATAATTCAGCATTTATTAGTGGGGAATTCCCTGGCAAAAGGCAGAAACCATCTGTTCAGGGGAAAAGTCAATAAAGTGAAGCAAAACAGGAGACAGGCAGAGGAGGTACAGGCAGGAGCAGTTACAGGAGGCCCACATGGGCAAAGTTCTCCCACTACACCAAAACAGCATGATCTTCCCTTGCTGCCCCCAGCTATTGCAGCCATGACCTCTCTCCCCATCCGCTAGTTCTCCTACCCATCACCAAGACCCCCCGACAGGAATCAGCACCCTAAGCTGCTTTGGCACCCTTCACCACAGCTCCTTGTGGTGCCATGTACAAGCTCAAACTCAGAATCCCACCACCTTCCTACACGTCCCAGCTGTATTCTTCCTCTGTTTCATCCACAAAATGCTCCTCCAAATTCCTCTGATCCACATACCATGTTTTTTTCACTGCTTAAAAGGATGCGGACACAGAAGGGTACATAACTGTACATGAAAGGATTTGAGAAAGCCACTGACCAAACCAATTTGGGAGCCAGTGCTGAAAGACACGTAGCACACATTCCAGCTGCATTTTCAGAAGGAGCAGTACCTAAACCAAAATATTTTCAGCACCTCATTTCTAGCCACAGCAGAGAAATTCTGGGGAACTTCCACCTCTTCCAACTGTAGTACTTCAAGGATGAGTATACAGGACAAAGAATCAGTCTCACCACTTGTATCAATGCTGAAGAGAAAGAGCATGAGGAGCTTGACAGGAGAGCTATATACAAAACCTGAAGTCTACTGTGTAGGAACAGAGAAAACCAAGAACTATTGTTCTTACACATATTGAGGTAGACATTTTAATCCTTTCATAAAAAAATATTTTCCCAAGATGAAATTCAAGCAATTTGATATTTCAGCAAGTCACCTTAGACACCTTTAGCTGGATAGAAAGAAAAAAAAAAAAACTTCCAATAAATGCAACATCAGAAATTTTATTTACAAATATACTGTAATTCAACAGCCATTCTCCACTCAGTTTGTGCAGGAAAAAGTGATAGTTAACATTTTCCAAATGGGGAAAGAGAACTCTTCTCCTTAAAAGGGCTCCACAGAATATTATGCCAACACCACTGAGCAAACAGATTATTCTTTGTATTTAAGTTTCAAAAAAAAGCACATAATTTTAGAAACCAGCATATGGAAAGCCAACGCATTTGTGTGCATTTAAATGCAGCTTCATATTAACCTAGAGAACTCAGTTTCAGTATATGTCAAAAATAAAGACAGCAATTGCAAATATATATTTATATTAGCTATTTCTCTAATGCTCATTTCAAGAGCTTAGAAACAAAATACCCTCTTCATATGCCATTGGAAAGTCAACTAGTTGATTACAAGCCTCAAAAATATTTTGAAGTTATTACTGAAAATATACTTATTCTCCCTTGTGCTCTCAGTACTTGAAGCTGAAAAAATGAAAGCATTTTCCCCAGATATTTCCTTACTGCAATTAATTTCTTATAAATAAAAAGTTATATGAAGAATACAATGCATTGCTATGAAGACTAGACAAGAAAGAGTTACTCTTAGAAAACACACACATACACACAATATATATATTTATAGATCTACATCAGCAGCAATCACCTCTTCTTTTATCTGCAACAGTGGTTTCATATTTTCATTTGCTTCACATGGAGGTTGGTTGTCCAGCTGTTAGAGAGAGACAGAAGAAATTGTCATTAAAGTCTATCTACTGAAGAATCTTAGTGACAAAAATTAAAATTTCCAAGTTAAAAATCGTCAGGTAATGGTATTTCCAATACTTATTGAAAATGGTAACACAAACTAAGGTATACAAATCCAAATTTAATGAACAATACAAATTTGAGTTTAATCCAATTATAGCACTGCAAGTATTTCAGGCCACGTAATATTCCACAGAACATGCACCTTACCCTGTTTTTAAGAATTATTTTTAGTATTAGCACAGAGAGAGGGTGACAGTTTTTCTAAATTTACACTTCAGTAATCAAATTAAAATTTGCTAAGTAACTGTAGCAATGTTAAAAAAGAAGTTTTTTTTAATCCTCTCTCTGCATATATTCGTGGGCATCTGCCAATTCACTGGTGATCTGCTACAGCGTTACAAGTTTAAACCATGAAATTAACATATAAATGTGCAAAAATATCACACCATCAAATTACACAGTGAATATTAATAATCCTACAGTTTATCAAAGCTTCTAGCCAATATGTTCATGTTCCAAACTAACGAATAATTAGCCAGGCTGATGTCAAATGCCAACTGCAAACGAAGTCATCTACATTACAGACCAGTGCTGTGCTGTCAGTGTATTTTCAATGCAGTAATCACATAGCTGGTTTTTGTATTATTCAAATAGCTAATTTAAATTACTAATCACTAATTTCAATGCTTTATTCGGTACCTGCAAGTCCTTACAATTCCTGATTTACTCGTATCTCATACAATTATGTTTTGAGGTGCCCACTTGGCCCAAGAAGACGCAGTCTGAAGGGAAGGGAATAGAACAGTTTCTCACAGATCAACTCTGCTTCTGAATGGCACTGCCGTGACTTTATGGCTGTAATGTCAGAGAAACTAAATAGCATTTTATCCATGATAAAATTTTTGCTCACTTCCATCACCAAATTCCTGAATAGTGTCTTGCCAGGAAATAATAAAAAACAGGTTTCTTTTCAGTACCAAGCTTATACAACTCATACAGCAATTTTGCCCACTAAAAGAAAAGATAAAGCAAAAATAACATGAGCGGGCTCTGGATTGAATCTCCCACACATTTGCGTGCTTCAAACAGGAACACGGTCACTTTGGTGTAGTCTGATCATCAAGCAGGAGATAAATTCTCCGAACATTAACTCGGAGAGACATGACCTAGAGCTCTGGATCACCTCCAGATGGAATGGGGGGGATTCTCTTACCCTTACACCTAACATTAGCCTCTCTGAATGCATTGGTAGCATCAAGGAGAGGTGTGAGGTTTTCTGTTTTTAGCTCTAGCACCACACAATTATTTCTGTGTGGTGCAGGCAGCTTTTCCTCCTCCTAGAAGCCAAAGAGAGCCTGAAAACAGCAACAGCACCAGATGCAGAGCATCTCTTTTTCTGGGCTGGGTTTCTCAGCCAGCAGATGCCCAAAACCTGCTGATGTGTTGTAACATGAGTATCCTGTTCCCTTCACTGCCTTCTGGTCCACCATGAGAAAAATGTGTAGGGCTCATGAAGAAACATGGACATGTTTCCCAGGAAGTAATTCAGAATTGCTTTCCCTTAGCTGAATTTTATCATACTAGAGAATTCCATATTTGCTACATAAAAATAAAGCTATATAAAACTCCTGAGACTTGTCAAAATTAGGAGGTTGTCTACCATCATCTATGACAGCAGGAAAAAAAAAAAACACCACCCTCAACACCATTATTCAAAGCCTTAACATCATGCTCCAGTAAATCATAACTCTGCAAACCATAATAAAGGAAAAAAAAAAATTATACTGCACCTTTTAATTAAGATCTGTAAGTAAATCAATTCCTCCTGAACTTGTACCTAAATGAATAACCAATCACAGACCTATAATTCCAATAATAATAGCATCGCAAAAAGAAACCAGCATTTGTGCCACCTGCACAGGATAAACTCATAGCTTTCCAGGTACGTGTTAGGACTGAATTAAATACATATTCAGACTACTTTTAAAAAAAAAGTGTAGACAATTTTTCAAAAAGACTTCTCCGTTATCAAGACATGCCCTGTTCAGCAACTGACAGCTCGTTGACACCACTTTCTCAGATCTATGAAGAAAGCAGGATGGCTATACTGCAATGTCTGCCGGAAGCTGCTTAATAACAAGGTGGTAAAATCAGCTACCAGTAAGTTAAAAGTTAGGAATAACTACCCGACAAAAGACAGAAACTGGCAATCAAACCTTGCTGAACCTATTCACTAACACACCAACTTAAAGCTAAACATGAAAGCTATCGAGTGGCTCAGCTGTGCAAACACTTGAGGTTTTACAGCACAAAGAACAACTATGGTCACACACACTGCAGTTGGATTGCCTTACTTTTAAATCTGATATAGCAGTCGTTGCAGAAGAGTTTGTTGTTTCGGATCCTAACTTCAGCTCCTGAGCGGGATCCCCCGAGGTCGCATCCACAGGCAACACACTGTATGACAGAGGAATGATTAGCAACTCCTTACAAAATATTAAGAAACAAAAATGCTGTTCAAAAGCAGCTTGGATTAAGCTCAACAAAGCTTGAACCATACACCCACAATCACTAGAAGCAAATGTGGAACGATTAGTAGATCAAAATGCAACCAACCCTGAGAAAGGCGGCGACCGGACAATGAATAGCAGAGATAACACCAACTAAGCAAACAGGGAGCAGAGGGTGTTTAGAGGTTAGTTCATTAAATCTAATTTGGATTTCAGTTTCTCTGAAAACTAAAACTGGCTTGACGTGAAAAAAATTTGTTCTCTAGATGGCAACAGCTATTTTGGCACAGAACACCTGGGTGTGCCACCTGCAGATTTCCATGCGGCACTGTATGCTGCTGGTGTCCTCTGCCCCTTGGCACTCGAAGCAGCAAATACTCAGGCATCCCCGAATTCCAGGGTTTGCGTCATAGAAACAAGTTGTTATTTGGCGAGAAGGGGCCGATTTCATTTTTCTTGAATAAAGACATGAATAAAGGGCTTGATAGGTTTCATGCTAACATTAAACTATTTAACTATGGTGGCTGAACACGTCTTTGCTATGAATACGAACCAACTCCAGAAGGACTGTAACCCGAAGTGTGACACTCTCCTTACTGAACTTAGGAAGCAAAGTACTCATCTGACTACAGAAGGACCGATAGTTTGCCTGCTTAAATGAGCAATGAATCTTTTGGATGGCAGTCTGTTCAACAGCCCATTAGTCTTCAGAAACTGAAACACAGAAATTTGGTATTTTCTTATGTTGGTTAGGAGCTACAGGTGGACCCCCTCGTGCAGAATACATATTCTGCGGAAAGGGAATGACGACCAGCCCCCGTGGATTACTCCAGTCCCTCCTGCTACAGGCAGGCAGGACTAGTAAGAGCTTAGAGCATTACAAGGGATTGACTCAAGGTAATGCATTTGAGTCGGGCACAGAGGGTTCTGTTCTGAACCAGACGCAGAAGGCTTTTTCTTAAAGCCATGGAGGAAGCAGGGTCCAACAGCACCTCAAATCAGTCTAATTCCTCATCTGGTCCTAGGGCAGGGGAACTAGGAGTGCTTTTACATCTTATGCAGACAGGCATTTATTCTTTCAGCTCTGCGTATGCCCCAAGCTGATGAGAAGTCACGTAACTATCTATCTCTCAGTGCTGAGCACAAGCTAATATACCCAGTTCCTGACCAGGGTTGGTTTGTACTAAACACAGCTCTTGGTTTGGTGCTGGATTTTATCTTGCCAGTTTGAACACTGACAGCCTGTCTCTACCTGGTAAACACCATGTGAACACTGTCTGCTAGGATCAGCTTAGAAGTGATAGACCATCTTAAATGATTCAATTGCCAGGGTCCAGGCTGAGTTGTTTTTTTTTTTTAAGACTCAATTTCTCCGGGAGAGGTGGCTCAGCACCTTCTGATTTTTCACTGCCTATTCGAAGAAGGAAGAACTTTGATCTCAGGGTCAATGTGTCTGTTTTACTTGTCAGACTCCCAGCTTGTCAGCCCTGGCATTTAAGGAATAGTCCTAGAGTTGAGGGCTAACTGCCTGCATTTAGGACTGCCTCATGGAAATATGCATGCACCACGCTGTCAAGAGTAGAAGGCAAAGCAGGTGATTAGTAGAGCCCCTGTGAGCATTAACATTGAGTAGCCATGCGTGCTCCTGATTAGTTCCTGTTCCTTCACGATGTGACTCCCAGCTCTCACCTTAAAGCACTGTAAATGATAACAAAGACCAAGAGATTCAATGATCATGGCTGCTCCTTTGCCCAGAACGTTATTACAGTATGAACAGATTTTCTTCCCACTGACTGACCTAGATACAGAATGAAAATCCTTAAAATCAGCTTGAAAAGGTTTAAAAGACAAAGAAAAGTTATCAAAGACTTTTTGAGATTAAAAATAAAAACATACTGGTAAAAAATGGACTATTAGGCTGCTTGGGGAAAATAAACTGAAAATTCATATTATTTACAGTAGATCTGAAAGCTAGGGAAAGCTGAAGTGTTATAATTTAGATCAAAGTTACATAGGAACAAATGAAGAAATTCTGTCACGTTCTCAGGAGATATTTCATTGTTTAAAATTCCTTCTACAAATAAACACAAGAAGTGTATTGTTAAATTTGGAGAGCAAGAACACAGGTTTTGTGCTCCTGCCTTATTTCTTATTTGCAGGGAATTATCCTGAAGGCTAAGTTTTAGCAAGCACCACCGCCAACTCCCATCATCTGCACCTTGTTAGATAACAGAAGGCTAGTCCTGGACATATAATATTACATTAACTCTTTGAATGTAAGCCATACAGAGGTCGGTTTCCATAGATCTACCAAGATGTTAGCAAATGGAAGTGAGAACAAGATAAGCAAACATAGTTACGAAGGTAATTTTCTTATGTTATAAAAAATGTAGGCACCTAGCTTTAAAAATAATAAAAAAGGGTCAGTTTATCACGAATTGCCAGAGAATGTAAGAGCTAGTGAAGCAGTGTTCACACTAATGTTATATATAGTACGTGTAATTGTGTGGGGATGATTCTCTATAGTCTTATCCTAAGGTATTTTCAAAATGTTTCGAGTACATGAAACAACAGTTATCTACCCTACCACAACTGAATACCATTTTTGTTTCCAAATATGTTGCAATTCTTGCTTTCTCCTCCTAGATTAAAACCAACATCCTACTCTGTAATTCTTCAGGGTCACGGGTTATGAGCATTCCTGAGTGCTCCTTGAGATGATATTGACCACGTGCCAGGGAAGGGGGAGGAGGAGAGACCAAGATGAGGGCCATAAAGCATGGGTTTCAGGAATCTTTTGTTAAAACAAACCTAAGAAAATAAATGTCAGAAATGCCATCTGGAGTAGGCTTTTACTAATCATTTTGGTAACCAACATACAGCTTGGAGACTGGAGATTTATTATTCCAGTTCCTTTGTTTTTTTAACCAATGTCAAGCAGTAATGACAAACCTGAGGAATTTTCTGAATGACTGGAGCAGGGAGGTAATACCAGCCCATATTTCCACCAACTTATCCAGCCAGAAAACTCCAGGTACTTTTCACACTTGCTCATCAAAGGTACAGTTGGGAACACTGCTGTAGACCACCATATCTACAAAGTCCGCTCTTTAGTGCGGCCTGATGGATATACCTCCCCAGCAGAAGGGCACCCGCTCACCTGCTGCGTGTCTGGGACCCTGGCTGGGAAGCAGAGAGGGGAGACTGAGCCTGGGGGGCTGCCTGGGACACAGAGGGGGCTCTTGCAGAGGCGGCCGCAGAAGGTGCTTTGCTGGAGGAAGGAGTGCACATGTAGGCTCGGTTTGAAGTGGACACCGGGCGACTGAAGTCTTGACTAGAGGACAGAGATGACGAGGAGGCAGACTGGTTCAGCCACGAGTGGTGCCTCCACGAGCTCGTTCTTGAAGAATCGAGGTTGTCCAAAGACTCTCCTCTGTAACAGAGGTATGCATACAAGTGTAAACAGCAGTACGGCTGGAGCAGAAGAGCTGTATTCTATTTTCTTTTAAAAAGGAAAACATTATCCTAGCATTTTTAACATTTTCTAGCATCAATATGCTTGTCTGATCACCCTGAGCAATATTCTTCACATACTGATTTAAAATGTTTGAGCCACGAATTATGCTTTGTGTCCAGCCCTAGTCTCGTGGGAAAAAGCAGGAGAGGCGAAAGAGAGGTGGCACTTAACCACTACAGACGAAAGGGAAAACACTCTTCATTGCAGCCTTATCAGGGCGAGCCATATCAAAATCTGCTGCACAGCAACAGACCTCAGATACCAGGTTTGTTTTTGTTTTCTCCAAGGGATACCAGATCAAAATAGCAAGCCATCCAGACTGGATAGCATCACCTAGGTACAAGGTGTTGGCCCAATAGCTGAAGCACTCTCTTGACTGGGAACTCGGCTGTTTCCTGAGTGACAAATCCAACATTCATACGTTACTTAAAGCAAGAAACAAACTCCAGACCTTTTGACACATTTCTGTGTCAAAGAGGTATAGTCTTCAGCTATAATAATCGATTTCTGTAATAAATTGTCACACTGAAATTCTTAGGCACATCCCTCAACGACAAGGTACACTATTGATTTCCATCGCTGGTATACCAACCAAGAAATAAGCAGCTGAGGTATTTATAGGTCACATCAACATTCTTTACATGTTTTTTCACATTTAATCCCAGCTGTAATACCGCTGCTTTCTTCTATCTGTGCTGCTATTCAGTTTACCTTACAACATTTCACAGACTCAATTTGTTTCTGTGCTCTGCAGTACAAGCTGAAGTTTAGAAAAACCAAACAAAAACATTTGATGAGAGACAAAGTTAATTTTTAACGCTATTCCTACCTTCTCATACTATTGCTGTACAGACTAATAGGCTCCTTATGTATACTGGAACTGCGCTGCCTAATCCAGCTGCTGTCTGTGTGTAGAGATGTTTTCTTTCTCATTTCCTGAAGGATTTGCTGTCTCTCCAACTCTGCCGCAGACAGGTTGTGCTCCTTCTGAGATTTCTTCTGTGACTCGCCCGCGTTCCAAGACCTCTCCGAATACTTGCTCTGGGTACCTGTTTGGACAACACGTGCAAACTTCAACTTGACACCTTAAGGCACAAAACCAGTTACCATGCATTCAGTACTCTGGCCATAACTCCAAAATCAGTAGTTTATCACCACATTCCCAGGTTTTTCCAGTTCCTTTTTACAGTCAGGTGACCAGTATCGAACTGTAGAGTATAGTTGAATGGTGGGATACCTTCCTTCCCTTTAAGAATTCTTATTCTTTTTTTCTGTAAATTGCCCTTGTTTTCAAGAATTCTTTCCTTATTCAAGACACTAAACACATTGCTTTATATAAATATATATGCATGGGGTGGGGGGAGAGGGAAATCTTAGAGAGTTTCTCTATTATTTGGATGTTGTGTTAACCATCAGTTGAGATTTATGGTATAGATGGCTTTTGAAATTTTAGAAGGGGAAACAAACAAGCCTTCTTTCTCCAATATGTGTTGACATGTTAGAAGGCAACAATTTTTTCTTTATTTCCTAGATCCAGTAACTATTATTTAGAGTAAGACTGTTAAGAAAAATACTCAGCAATAAGTCATTCAACTGAAATTTCAATCCCTTTAAATACCTCTCTGACTATCAATTTGCTCTTGGTTTTATTGCTATAGATTACCATTATAAAATATTGTGGAAGTTTACTCACTCATTAGTTTCAATGACCAAGCTGTAATGTGTGAAAGCAATGTTGTCAATCCGCAATATATCCTCCAATACACCATTTACTTTTCTATGATTACTTGCGATTACTTTTTTTAAACCATGTTTTAGACACAGGAATACCTTTCAGGCATTTTCTACTGTAACACATTTATAAATCTGGTTTGTTTGTTTGCTTTACACACATCCCTCTAAAAACGCAGTAACGTAACTGAAGGACAACTCAAGAAAGGCAGCAAGGAACTGGAGTCCAGGAAACAAGCCACTGTGACAGTATCGAGAGCTGACTTCTTGCTGCGTTACTCCTACACTAACAGAAGTTACAAAGAGCAAATAGTTGTATTAAATATGTTCACATCTTGGTTTGCGCAGCTTTTTTTATTGACAGTGTCAACGTATCAAGAGCACATACATCTTCAATGATATACCTACACGATTGGTTTAATCTCATATAAATACCGGTCATCTAAACTTTAGGCATCTAAGATCTGTTTGTAATCACTGCTATGGTCTTCAAGAGAGCAGTTACTCATATTTGTCCTAGGCTTATATGTTGACTGTATGAATTTGCTCTTGCTGTTGAAACTTCATTAAATTGTGGCACGGTATGAATTTGAATTACAACACAGCTATAAAAAAGCACTCTGACAATTAATTTTCTTAGCATGACTACGTCCAACACATTTTATTTTTTTTCAAAAAACCCCACATTTTACAAATAATGGAAATTAAACAGTACTTACCATTTCTGACTGTGTTGAATTCATTCAGTTCTGAAGTCGACTTGGACTTATCCCTAAGGATATAGAAAACATTCATTTCTCTATCTCAACTGGGAGACCTCATCACAAAGAGCTTATCATTGCAGACCACAGATACACAGCCCCTTTTTTCACCATCTCTCTCATCAACAACTTACGCTTTACTTGAAACAAGAGGCAAAAATATCCAAAGACCAAGAGGATATTAAAGTGGGGGGGGGAAGTAAATAGTTAGGTGTCAATAGGTAACCATAGATTAAAAGTTAAAACTCTGTATTGAAAGTTCCCAGTGCTTCATTTACAAGGAGCTGATCATTGTATTTGCTTCAACAAAATTATGTAAAATCAAAGTCCTTCCCTGTGGAAGCTTTGTGAAGACTATAGTCAGGCAGTCAAAGAAGTGATAATTTTCAAAGCAGTTTTATAAATTATTTAGCTTTATGAGAAACTCAAATCATACTTCAGCACCATTACTAGACCATAAGCAAAACACCTCCTCACACACTGCATGCAGATTGTTCTTGGGAATTTTATTATTCACTGATTATACCCAGCAGCATAATTTTTTAATGAGTTTTAGCCAAGAAATGTCATTCAATATACAGGAAGACAAATAGCAAAAAGCTGGTTTTCTGACAGTACAGAGCAGGAGCTTCAGCAACACCTCTGTGCTGTATTATTAGTCTCAAGTGATACAGCCAGTTTCTTAGTTTAAAATACTTTGGAAAAGAACAAAAATCCTTCACTGTGTCACAAATCAAAGCTGCTGCAGCAACGTTTTTACATGTACAGCACTGGCTGCATAACAGCATTCTGAGGGAGCCTTGTCCCTGGCCTGTAAATAAAGGGTGCATAAACTGCCTCACATTTCTTGCTCCCCCAAGTTCTGATTGCCTGTCCTATGGTGCAGACCTATTTTATTATCTGTTTGAGAGGATGCAATGATTTCACAGTTGCCTGTAGTAAACAGGAACTCCAAAGAGCAGGTCAGCCTTGCCTGGGACACTTTTAGCACCCGAGTGTCCTCCTCATACATATATCCAAGACATAAGCATTTAGTGCAGGCACCTTCTGAAGTTAGATTTAGATCTTCCATTAGTAACAGATCCATTAGTTGTACCCTGTATAAGTTTGATATTAAGAGGGGTTCCTCTTAATATAAAAAAAAAATGTATGCTCACTCCAACTACAAGAACTGACTAAATATGAAGAGAGATGATCTTTCAGAACTACTTTGGGATGCCAGCTAAGACAAAGGCTTGATACAAACGTTCTGGATTTAGGTTACTTCAGCATTTTTTTAACCATAGCCCTGTTACTAAAAGGGAGAAGAAAAAGCTATCTATTCAAGAGCCCAAATCTGCAGTGGCTGGGGTATTCTATTAAAATAAAAACAAAGCAAACCCCCAACCCAACAATAAAACACCCAAACAAGCCACTAAGCAAAACAAAACAGAAAATAGCCCGGGTAAGAGAGCATAACTTAACAAGTGGCACGTCTACTATCTTCCCGATAAATACGCTGCTGCTGCTGCCTCTCACTTCCCTCCTTGTTTACTCTCTCTTCAGTTGCACAATCCTGATTGGGATGACTGCACCTTAGTTTGTATAGCACATTATGACACAACCACAATATTATCTGAAATTGTTTTCCAGCCAGATAAGTCTAATACCACCCACATATTTACTTCCTTATAGTTCTGCTTCTCCCAGTAAAATTCTACTGACTAACTAACTCTTGTTTACAGCACAGTGTATAATTTGCCAAAAGTTTGGCTGCTTGTTTTCTCAATAAGAAATCATGCCATGAAAACTGCAAAACACAGCAGCAATACAAAGTATACACCTAGCTCCATGGCTAAGGTTTATTGGAAGTTTCAAAGCTTTCTCACACAGAAACAGTGATGTTACAATCCATGCTGAGATTCAGTATCACACATACCTGTCAGCAAATGACTTGCCAGGTTGCTCCTCAATGGTTTTGGAAACTTCATAACGCTCATAATGCCTATTAAAGAAAAAAAAAAAAATCAATTATGTTCATATACAGAAAAAAACCCCATACACAGACATAAATATTTCCTACTAAAAATATTCAAAATAGATCCTTAAGGGGAAAAAAGGAACAAAACCTGAACAGTTGAACTTCTAAGGAGGCTTAATTTTATCAGTCAGAAACACAGCTAACAAAAGAAGGCAGAAAAATATAAAGTTTGTCAGAAAAACTGCCCAAAATTACTCAAGTGATACAGCCAGTTTCTTAGTTTAAAATACTTTGGAAAAGAACAAAAATCCTTCACTGTGTCACAAATCAAAGCTGCTGCAGCAACGTTTTTACATGTACAGCACTGGCTGCATAACAGCATTCTGAGGGAGCCTTGTCCCTGGCCTGTAAATAAAGGGTGCATAAACTGCCTCACATTTCTTGCTCCCCCAAGTTCTGATTGCCTGTCCTATGGTGCAGACCTATTTTATTATCTGTTTGAGAGGATGCAATGATTTCACAGTTGCCTGTAGTAAACAGGAACTCCAAAGAGCAGGTCAGCCTTGCCTGGGACACTTTTAGCACCCGAGTGTCCTCCTCATACATATATCCAAGACATAAGCATTTAGTGCAGGCACCTTCTGAAGTTAGATTTAGATCTTCCATTAGTAACAGATCCATTAGTTGTACCCTGTATAAGTTTGATATTAAGAGGGGTTCCTCTTAATATAAAAAAAAAATGTATGCTCACTCCAACTACAAGAACTGACTAAATATGAAGAGAGATGATCTTTCAGAACTACTTTGGGATGCCAGCTAAGACAAAGGCTTGATACAAACGTTCTGGATTTAGGTTACTTCAGCATTTTTTTAACCATAGCCCTGTTACTAAAAGGGAGAAGAAAAAGCTATCTATTCAAGAGCCCAAATCTGCAGTGGCTGGTATATTCTATTAAAATAAAAACAAAGCAAACCCCCAACCCAACAATAAAACACCCAAACAAGCCACTAAGCAAAACAAAACAGAAAATAGCCCGGGTAAGAGAGCATAACTTAACAAGTGGCACGTCTACTATCTTCCCGATAAATACGCTGCTGCTGCTGCCTCTCACTTTCCTTCTTGTTTTCTCTCTCTTCCGTTCTCTCTTCAGTTGCACAATCCTGATTGGGATGACTGCACCTTAGTTTGTATAGCACATTATGACACAACCACAATATTATCTGAAATTGTTTTCCAGCCAGATAAGTCTAATACCACCCACATATTTACTTCCTTATAGTTCTGCTTCTCCCAGTAAAATTCTACTGACTAACTAACTCTTGTTTACAGCACAGTGTATAATTTGCCAAAAGTTTGGCTGCTTGTTTTCTCAATAAGAAATCATGCCATGAAAACTGCAAAACACAGCAGCAATACAAAGTATACACCTAGCTCCATGGCTAAGGTTTATTGGAAGTTTCAAAGCTTTCTCACACAGAAACAGTGATGTTACAATCCATGCTGAGATTCAGTATCACACATACCTGTCAGCAAATGACTTGCCAGGTTGCTCCTCAATGGTTTTGGAAACTTCATAACGCTCATAATGCCTATTAAAGAAAAAAAAAAAAATCAATTATGTTCATATACAGAAAAAAACCCCATACACAGACATAAATATTTCCTACTAAAAATATTCAAAATAGATCCTTAAGGGGAAAAAAGGAACAAAACCTGAACAGTTGAACTTCTAAGGAGGCTTAATTTTATCAGTCAGAAACACAGCTAACAAAAGAAGGCAGAAAAATATAAAGTTTGTCAGAAAAACTGCCCAAAATTACATTTTTGTAAGTGGCAAGAAATCCAAACCTGAGCATGCCAAAATGGTTAATACTTATTGCTGAAGATGTTTCAACCTACCTATCAATTCCATTTCTTATTACCTGTCAATGAGAGGATGGCCAGCTCGATCCTCTATTGTTTTAGATACTTCATAGCGCTCATAATGTCTAGAAGCAAAATACAGGTAAAAGAAAATACGTATTAAACAAAAAAACATTTTCTAGAAATTGAACAAATGATAAGTATACATAGAGAAAAATGGGAGAGTTCAGGTGTGTTAGTTAGAAACATGAAAATACATGAGAGAGAAAAAAAAAATACTTTTTAAGGTGCAAAAATTACAAGTATCAGTATAAGGCAGTGATTATCTCATCTGTTTCAAAGCCAGGCGGTAAGCTTTGTCCAAACACAGTAGTTCTCTAAAAGTTACATCTAGCAAATTGTGTAGGCGCAGTTGGTAACCCATAGAGAAGCACTCACTAACTTCCACAAAGCTCTTCCACCTGCCTGTCCCCAGCCTCAGTGCTCTTTGTAGCGAGCACCATGCCTCCACAGATGTTTATATAACGTTTCAGATTTCAGGTCATATCTCTGGATATCATCATAAAGCAAACATTTAACACTAGGTATTTTTAATCCCAGTTTCACTGAACTTGTTCCTGTACCACTAAGCAAAGCCATCCTTGTTTAGCAAAACACATCCTTTGGCAGCAACCTCAGAAGCGATGAAATCCCCTGAGACTAAAGCGTATATCAAGGATTTAGATATGGAGATATCGCAGCAGCTTAGTAAGTTGCCACACAAAGTCCTATTATCTTGCAATTGGGGCAAGCTAAAACTGTAGAGATAACCCTGGCTCAGCTGCCAAGAAGAACCTGTTTAGCCATTGTAACAACTGTGCCTCTGCTTTGCTCAGCAGGGATCTCAAGCAGCAGTCATTTACAATGAGCTAAAGTAACTCCAGGTCTCAGAATCTCCCTTGCAAATATATGCAACTTTATAATCATATTTTCTTCTCCTAGGAATTAACTTGATACCACGTGTTGTCTTCAGTCAACTCTTATTACTTACATAAAAAAAGGGGAGAACCCTCAAGAGAAACCGCAACGCTAGTCATGCACAAGGCAGTAAGCTAAACGCACAAGAAATAAGGAAAAGTTACTGTTTTAATCTGTTTCAGATGCATTAATCTCCCATGATGCCTGTAATAGTCTGAAAACTTCTGGGCAAGAATATGCACTTGTAAACTAATAGTTGGGGTCTTTTTTGCATTTTTTGTTGTTGTTCTAGGTGTTTTTTTTTTTTTATAAAAAACAAGTTGCTGAAGAAGGGAATAGAAGAAACTTTTTTATGTTCTAGAATAAATATATCTACAGTGGGTACTTCTAACAGGCTACAATATCTAAGCCAGTATCTGTTCATTCACATACAACGATATCTCTCATCAACTAATTAACCCAGTAGTGCAAATACACTTTATTGTTGCACTGTTGATCTAAAACGAGAGACGAGTCTGGAAAATCAGTCACATGTTTGTTGGAAAAGAGTTAACTTGGTATTTCTTCTGAAAGCACTGTATGTTGAACCACTGGCACTCAATTTACAAGCTTATGAAGGGTTCTTAAAAAAATCTTCACAGTAAGTGCTTCAGGTCATCTTTGATTTGGCTGTAATTACTGTATTTGCACTGCCTATTTAAAAAAAAAAATGAGCTGAAGTGGGTTGATAGAACACTTTGTTTGTGGGGAGAGACTTTGTCTTATGCCTGATTCTTCCGCCTTTAGAAGGAAAGGCTATCCAGTGGCATCTTGCACCGACATTCATCTATAGTACGAGTCTTAGGTGATACACTTAGACACTCAGGATGCACGCACTCCCTTTAGAAATGTATTTGAATTTTAAGTGCAGAAGGAAAAGAGAGGACACGCCACCACAAGCGCACACCTTTGGTACTGAGGTGTCTCCACTGACACCTCCCTCTGCCTTTCAGCCTGGCGCCTCTGCTCCTCCATCTCTGCTCGCTGCCTCTGCTCCTCAGCATATTGCTGCTCCCTCTCTTTACGTTGCCTCTCAAGCTCCAGTTCTTGGAGTTCCCTTTCCTGCTCAAAACGCAGGGCTGCTTCTTCCCGGATCTTCTGTTCCTCCTGAAGCCTCCTCCTTTCTTCTTCCTCGCCCAGCAAGCGTGCCTCCAGCTCGCTCTCTCCATCGCCTTCTGGTTCCTCAGGAGTATTTGCTTCAGGGCTTGCTCTCCAGCTGGACACAGATGGAGCCCGTGCAGGGACAGACGTTGTGTTTAAGGTTAGAACAGTCTGCTCCTGTAGCAAAGAAAAAAAACATGGGTTTAGGTGAGGGAGCCGTTTTTTTAAACAGACTGCTTGCTCAGAAAAAAAGTTCATTTATTTTATGAGGGAAGACTGTCAAAATCATCCCAAACACTTTCAACCCAAGACCCAGGGGGTACTTTGGTTTCATTTTTTGAGTGTCTGCTAGCACATTCTCCTAATGCAAGAGCTTCATTCCACACAGCAGCCTTAGCGAGCGCCATGGGCAGTGTGGCCACAACTATGTGAAACATTCTGCTTTCTGAAGTATCACTTACATTTCAAGCCATCCCATCCCCACTTAAATCGCCATGGAAAACAAACTCTTCCATGATACTCAGCATTTCTCCCTACTGTTTTGACTGAGAAACCCACGACCTACCTAAGAGCATATACACTGAGATATACACAGCATGTGCATGTACATCAGACCAACAAATTTCATGTGTATCATCATGTGGAGGAAACCTCCATCCTCTTCCATTCTGCTACCATTTGAAAGTCAAGCCTCAGACCCACCACCCTATGACTCTTCTCTCAGACATGAAAAAAGGTCTTTCAGTGGTCAAATATGTTTTATTTTGCACAGAACAAATACTTTTTGCCAATTAAGGACTGGTCCATCCAAACTTCTAATGATTAAAAAAAAAAAAAAAAAAAGAAATGGTTTACAATCTTGTACAGCAAAGTCCTCTAACAGCAAAAAAAGCTTTCTTATTGAAGTTCTAAGCCCTAAATTACTGTCTACTTATTCATGATTGTATAAACACAACTGATCTAGCTAGGATGCCTGAAGCAGCACTTGCATAGCAATATACAAGAGATATCTCAGCCACCTCCCACACTGAGGAAAAAAAGGTTCATCTTCCCATAAGCAACAGTCACAAAAGTCAGCATCTACAGCAACTACACGCATTCAATGTTTTGAAACATATGATAGCAAATCTGAAGTTTATTTGATATGTAAATTTATCAGAGATAGGATGAACTGGTTGCCAGTAACAAGCAGGCACTTATGAACAAGCCTCATGATGAAGTATTGAAACACAATTCCAACAGGTAGCATTAGGATGTAAATATGCAGCAAAGGTGACCATTTCATTCTGGTTACAGTAATTAATACATGCTGCAATTTTTTGCCAACAAATTTCTGGTGTTAGTTACCTAACCAATCCATACAGAAAAAAGTAAAATTAAACAGGTCTCAAAACAACACATTTGCTCTTTCCTTCCCATTTTTGCAACTTCTTTCTACCAAGTCACAGAAAACAATTTGTTTTCCAAAATGAAAGGATAGATGGCATAGCAAAATAAATTATTTTCCTGTTTACATGCATTTACTATTAGGGGGAAAAGCCATCATGAAATTAAACAGTCAAAGGTGAAGCCATATTCATAGCCTACCTCATCAAAATACTTGGAGCTCTCTTTTTCTGCTTCTTGCTTAGCTCGTAGCCATTCTTCCCTCAGTTTTTCTTGTTCTCGTTTGTATTTCTCCTGTTAGGTTACATTGAAGTTAAACACACAAAGAAGAAACATGGTATTTTTTTATTTGCATTCAAGTGGCATTTAATGTGTTTTTTAACAGACCAGCGTGGTACAAAAAACACACTTGAGCTACTCTAGGACATTAAATCTGCCACGACTGAATGAAATCCTGGCTCAAATACAATTGAAAGGAGTTCTGCAATTGATTTTGGAGAATCCAGGCGTATTACACGCTGTCTCATAACAACTGACCTCACATCTGTTATGTTCCCTGTCTTACGGTTTAGTTCCCATTTGAACAAAAATCAGCTATCTAAAATATTTCTTGAAAGATGGAGTGATTATATTTAACTTGGAATCGGGCACATTAATATGGTAAATATAAAGTGATCACTAAGTGAAATATGAGGCAGTAATTTGGTTTGAGCAAGAACTCTTGGTCTTTTGGGAGCTTATCTAAACAAAACCAATTTCTGGACCTCCAAATTTGTCCTATGATTGGATTTGGTATGAAATCAATGTAGTGTCTTAAGGCATTACTCAAGGTACACAATAAATGTTTTGGTGGTTTTGTCAGTCACCACTTAGGCCTTGGGAAAAGCAAAACGTTTAATGAAGTCTAAAGTATTCCTTCTTAAGATATTGGAAATAAGCAAAGAAAGACTTTGCTTCCTTTCTCTTGTTATTTGAAAATTCATTACTGGCATCATGGGGAAGAGAATGAACATTATTACTCTGGCCAAATTTACTACTTCAGGACTAAAAAAGGAGAAGCAAGAAAAGAAAAATTATATCGGAAGGCTGAGATCTCTCTCAAGAAAGGGGAGCCAAGGTTTACATTCTTTAAAACCATCTCTTCAGGCATCAAATGGAGCACCCACACCATAACAGAGACCACAAATATGTTTAGGAAGGCAAAGCTCTTGCCTTGCAGAGTTTGTAAGCTAAAAGGAATGACAAAAGATAAAACATTCAAAAAGCAACAGAGTTGCTAAGCTGTACTTTGACATCACAGTTTTCTGCTGAATGCACCAAACTTATTAAGAGGGCTTGTGCAGAGTAAATGATGTTCACTGACGCCTCTCCTAGCCAACAGAATTTAGATGATAACTAACCTTAATTTAATTTGCAGAGACGTGTCTTGTTGAATGTGGTTGAATGGGCTTATGCTTCACTGAGCTGAGGTCTTTGCAGAGATGTGTGCTTGGTTTTTTGTGCTGTCCTAGGATAACAAAACATTGCCCCTTCTCTCTGCAACACTTCCCTACATCTCTAGCAACTGGTTATCAAGGTGGTTTTGCATTAGTAGGTTCAGCTTCCTGACTCAGGGAGGTCCTGGGAACCAGGTTGATTCCAACCGATTAGCTGATTGCTAAACGACAGGGTGCTAGCAAGCATCTAACCACGGCACTGGCTGCCTTCTCTTCATCTCTGAATATAAAGCAGTATTGCTAACTGAAGGCAAAACTCATTCTTAGAGACAATTTTCTTACGGGAAAAAAAAACCGACTCGTATTCAAAAGTGAGGACTACTGCCCCTTCAGTCTTTGCTTCTCCTTTAAATTCTGTTGCCAGTAAGAGCATACCAGCCTTGTGATGACTGAGCAGTTCTGCCTGCAGTGAAGACTCAGCCTGGGTTTGATTTTATGAAGCTCTTTACTGCATTGTCCTCTTTTTGCTGAAAAACTGCTAGTGTGTGTAACTGTGCAGCCCAGCAAACGTATCCAAAAGTCCATCTCAGGCCATCAGTAAGAAGATTTGCAGGAGTCGCACGTTACTTTCCTTCCCTGACAACTGCTGCACCCAAGGGATCGTCAGCCTATGATTATGAAGATTAATTATACCTGCAATAAACGGTCCTGCTCCTTTTGCCATTTTTCCTGTCGTTTTCGTTCTTCTTCTTGATCCCAAACCCGACGACTAGGAGCAGTGATGGATGGGACTGGGAGCTAATATAGTAACGAAATGAAATAATATTATCTTCTTCCATGTAATCAACACTCTACATTTTAAAATGTATTTTTTTAAAGTGAGAAATAAAAGCCATTACAAGCACTACAACATTACAGTGGCAAAGACCCTAAAGTAGCCTTTTCTTCAAAGGGGCAGAAAGCAACCATTCCATTACACATTAGAAAAGCTTAGTCAGTACTCTCAGTTTTGATCACAATTTTAAAACAGTATAAAAAGCAATAGAAAGCAGCAGGCTTCTTGAAAAGACCAGGATTATAGAAGCAATTGGTAGTTTGTAAATAGTACTTACATCAGGCATTGCAGGCTCTGGGCCTCCTGTGAGATTTGGAAGACAAAAACCAGAAATTGTTAGAGCCATACATACTCACTACTGCAAGACCTGCGTAAATGTGGGAAGTCTGAGCTTCAGACTAATTTTTGCTTCCTTAGTAAGCCATGCTTGCATTTTGCCCTACAGAACTTACTTGAGGTCAGAATTCATTAGGTGCTTTCAACTAATGTGCGCAATTGTTCAAAAGCTTTACATGCTTACAAGTGCCATCAGCAGTTGCTTGAATTAGCAGTACATCTCCCAGGGTGGCACTACAGAGGTTCTTTGCTACGCCTCTCCTCTTGTTATTCTGGAGCCCAACTGTTTAGCATGACCAATAACCAGAACGCTGCTCCAGGGTAGAGCAGCTACTCACCTACTGCCCTCCATGCGAATTAAGAGCAATAGACATCCACAGGCAACTTCTCTACCACAAAACCACGTATTTTCCCTTTCCAGCTGTCTTCCTTTCCTACTCCCAAAAGCACTCCTGAATTTGGTGAGCTTGTCACCATTCATCACCAACACCTTAGGCTGTTTGAGACTATTGTGCTTGGTCTTAGCTTGTGCCAAGATGATTATTAGAGAGATGTGTATTATGCAAACATATTAAAAGTCAAGAAAATGTGGAGAAGCACAGATTTAAGTATAATCCTTTCCCAAACATCATCACTGGTTTTGTTTGTTGCTAGTATACTTGTTACTTGGCTGCCCAAATTTCAGTTAAAAAAAAATAAATGCATAAAAGCAACAAGTCGTAACAGTTTTTCTGAAGTATGACCACATGAAGTGGAGAAAAGGTCAAATTCAGGATACAAAAGACATCTATGAGTCACAGGCTAGCGTCCAATCTATACAGGCATGATTTCATCTTCACCAGCAGATTGCAACAGCCACAGTGACAGTAGGACAAATGGACTTCATCTCCCACACTTGTGCCAGGAGATGTTAGAGCGAGGCATAGGCAGCAACTATCTTTGCTCCCCTCTTCTCTCACCCCTGTAAGCTTGTGCTGGCCTGCACAGGTTTAGAAAGAGGAATCTTGTGTATCACTGTAAAGCTGAAGTGTCAAAAGTTTTAAATGAACAAAACTACTGAGTGTACACTCTAGAAATACATCCCTCTCCTCCCCCTCAAACACAAGTGAAATACTTCAATATTGCTATAAAAATATTAAAATGAAACCCAAAATTCATAGCCAGCCTTTAAAAACAAAAAAAACCCCAACCCCAGCCAAAACAAAAAAAAACAACTAACAAACAACAAAATACCACCATATTGCAGATACAATGCAGCCCAAGTATTTAAAAGCAAACAGAACCACAAACACAGATTTATGCTGTGGCACTTCACATATCACTTCTGGAAAAAAACAGAAACCATCACCACTGAAAGCAAAGTCCTGGCTCCACTAAAATAATGGGCAAAATTCACACGGAACTTCCAGTGGGCCAGAATTTCACTCTTTCAGGCTACAGCGAAACAGCAAGGCATACATAGTCTGAAGACAGCATTAGATATACAACATTAGTGGAAGTATGTGAGTTGTGACATGCAAAACACCAAAAAGCAACCTACAAAACCAAAATTGAGTGCATTTGTTGTCTTTAAAAGCTAGAATATTCAATTCAAAATTTATATTGGTCTTGGGATCTTGCGACATCACCACATAGTGGAAAGCCAGCAGCTGCCCTTTTCCACCAATTTAGATGAAAGCACAGAGCTGCAACTCAAGATAAACTCAAGTCCAGAGTTAAGTATTTTATCAACAGCTCTTTGAGATCTGCTCTAAGCCTCTGCTGGAATATTCAGTGTTATTCTTGTTTTGTAGGTGGTAGCAAACCTGAACAGAGAGTGCTATCCTTCTTACTCCTACCCAGTGAAAAAAAAAAGGTATGAACAACATAGAAGAGGTTTAAACAGCTACAGATATAAGAGAACACACAAAGACCCATTACCACAAAGGTAGACCCATGAATTGTAAGAATAATCTGATGACCCTGGGGAAAGAAGGGAAATTAATTATGTTGCTTCATCGTAACTGCAACAAACGGTTCTGAAGAGGTATA